ACTTATTAAAGTGTGCAGAGATCCATTTGTTAATCCTTCGAGTTATGTTTTGAAGAAAGTTTTTATTAAATGACAGATTTTGAATAAAGGATATTACAGGGACATCTAGAAGAGGAGATAGATGTTTCCTTTATTGGGTAATTTATATTGTTTGCTTCATTTAAATCATTATGATAGGTCATAGAATTTATATACCATCATTATTAAGCTGAATTTGTCCAATAAAGAGTGTGCAAATTTCATAACTCTAGCTGCATGAAGAGAAATAGATCTAAATGATACACTGGTTTTAAATCATATTTTCATACCTGGGCAATATTTATTTTATAATTTGTTTGAAAATATGGTTTAAAATGAGAATATAAGGGTTTTTATTAACATTTGATTGGTAAGCTTTTTATGCAATGTTTTTATGGCTGCTCCAGTGTGTATTTTCCCAAAACTATATTTTCAACATTTTATTGTGATATATTACATGTTTTTCTTTTATTTCATGAATACTGGAAATGTTTATGTACAGCAATTTAGTGGTAAATTGTAGGGAGTAAAGGAAGTACTGGGTGAATACTTATTGTTGAGATGAGTATTACAGTTATATCCATGTCAGGAACCCATTGCCTCATACCCAGGGGAATGGAAACGCCTTACCTGAGGGAGGCTCATAGGAATAGCAAAGCCTAATTTTCATCCAATAACAGATGTTAAAAAGATTTACCTTTAGCTAATACCAACGTGTAAAGAAACTACCAACCATAGCTTTCTCCTGTATACTTGTAACTAGACCCTGCTCCCCTGCAGAGACTGCCTACTAAGACTCACTAACTTATTTCTTCCTCATTAAGCTGTCTCTAATAAAGAAACATCTGCCTCTAACTTTTCTGTATATGTGTCTGTAAGTCTGTCCTTGGTCAACCTAGTCAGGTTTCCAGGACCCCACCACAGCACTAAAACATTTGTGTCCTGTTAAATTTCTATAAAAATCTTATGTTGTATTCAAATTTGTATTTGAAATATCTCCCAATATCTTGTTTTAATGACAATCAAAAGCAAACTTTTCATTTCTCATTGTGATTATTTTCAATGAGTATTATCAGTGAGGAAAATAATCTGTGCATATTTATGTGCATATAGGCTAAAGATATACCCATCATGTACACACACTCATATCACTATGAAGAAAAGTATCACATGAGGTTTAACAGATTGAATATAGATAAATCCTCATAATTTTGGCTCTATGCCTCTATGATAACATTACTTAGGACTTAGCACATTTTAGTATACAGAACATGGTATTGAGTTGTATAGGGAAAGTTTCATGAGATTTTCATTTTGAAAGAGATCAGAAAGGTTTTAATATTCTGCTTCAGAGATACGTGCTCATCCATGTAGGAATATGAGACTTCAAAGGACGTGGAATGGAATAGTGGAATGCAGGCAGTATGAAGGGATAAAGGAAATAATGAAACAGATTAGCACATGTCAGAAGAAGGGATGTCAGATTTTATCACAAGACTTTTAAAATGAAATATGAAAGCCTACCACTGTAGAATGTTCTTAAAATATAGATATGTAGATACAAAAGAAATTTAAAAGGAGTTGCCCTATCATGGGGTGTCTCTCCCAGACATCATAGATTACCAAATTAAAATACCGGTTCCAGATAGGGGTTACCTATTTTTGAGTTAGTCAGTGTTGTCTTATAGATAACCTAAACATTACAGTTTTTTTTTTTTTTTAGTGAAAAATGCCCTGTGTTTTCCTTTATTTCTTTTTAATTAAATTTTTATTTTTTACATCAATTACATTTTATTTGATTTGTATCCCAGCTGCAACCCCCCTCCGGCATCCCCTCCCAGTCCCACCTTCCTTCTTCTCCTCCCATACCCCTCTCCAAGTCCACTGGTAGGGGAGGTCCTCTTCCCTTTTCCTCTGACCCTAACTTATCAGGTCTCATCAGGACTGGCTGCAGTGTCCTGCTCTGTGGTCTACCAAGGTTATTCCTCCCTCAGGGGTCAGAGGGTGGTAAAAGATGAGTTCACGTCAGAGACCTCCATAACTTGATCGTAAAACCCAGTTGTTGAAGACATCACATGCTTTGGTTCTAGGGTATTGAGAAATCAAGATGTAACTGACTCAAATTTTTTTTTTTTGTGTGTGTGTGTGTATCTCATAATCCTAATTAGAGAAGCTTCATTTACAATAGGATCTGATTAATATAGGTGCACAGGTTATCAACATGCAAAGACTAAGAAAACTGTGGCCTCTCAGCATTTAATGGGTCAGCTATATCCCACTCCTTCCCCTCAATTGTAATGAGACCTAGTATTTGGTATGCTGAAAGAAAAAAAATGGCATAGGTCAAAGAAAGAAAATGGTTGGCTAGAGACATGGGTCAGTAGTTCAGAGCACTGGTTGCTCTCGTAGCTGACGTGTTTAGTCAACAGGTGCATCATGGTGCCTCATAACTAGCCATAACTGTTGTTTCAGAGACCTGATTCCGTTTTCTGAAATTCCCACATGCTAGGTACACGTGTGGTACAAAGACATACATGCATACAAAACACCCATACACATACAATGATAGCAATTAAAATAAACATATAAAATAAAATCAAGAAAGAAGGTAAGTTAACCCAGTAACAGTTGTAAAGAAAACAGAGAAACCTCCCTGGGTGGTTGTAGCTTATTCAATGTCAGTTTTAGTAATGAAGGGAACTTGAGGTAAAATGTGACTTCCTTTGGTCACATTTACATCCCCCAGGAGACCTCCAACCTCAACCTCTTACCCTGGTCCATCTTTACTAAATCATTTCCCAGAAAATTACATATAATAGTAGATGCCTTTTGGAATCTCACTTGCAGTGGTCAATGTGTACAAGCATACAGCTCAGTGCAAGTAATCATTTCTGATTTTAATATTTTACACCACTTGAATATAGCTGTGTACTTTTAATAACCAGAAATGCAGAAAGCCATTACTGTGAGTTCTGAAATAGAGGGAGAACACTCCATAGCCAGTCAGTTAATAAAAAGAGCCTAAGAGATCAGGAAAGTAGAATATTTGTAAGCTTATGGCAATTATCATTCAATCCAAAATGCAGATAGTTTCATGACAGTGTTTATATTTTCTCACAAGTTCAAATTAAATATGTCCCAAATTATTCACATTTACATGTTTAAGAAAAGGTAACATATTTCCTAGAACTGCAAAAAATAAATGTGACAATTTATGTAATAGTGGCTCTGTCAAGAAAAGAACAAAAATTCTGATGCTTAGATTTTCTAATTTAATTGTTTTTGACAGAATAAATGAAATAAAACAACCTAATGTCTTTTGGACTATATAAATTCCAAGGTTATATTTTATGATAGAAAGAATAGCAGACACAAATCTCCTTTTTTTCCTTTTTTTTAGTATCATAAATAGAGTCTTTATGCAACACACATACAGACACACACATTATACACACATACACACAGACAAATACACACATGTGTGTGTGTGCAAGAGGATCACCATATATATAATATATATAATTTATATATATTATATATATATCAATCTACATTTCATTGTATTTATGAACACATTCATATGAAACATCCCATTTTTTCAATATAAATCACTTCATTTGCTTGCTTATCAAACTGTAAATAGGATATGACCACGAGTAAATTCTGAAACACAAAGTATTTAGAACACACTGTGGTGTTTTGAATCTCTTTTATGGAAAGATAGAGAAAATTGACTTATCCATAATAAGCGTTGATTACTATTTGTATGCACATAACATAAAAACATCAATTAAAACACTTCACAATCATCGCATGGCATCATAATATACTTTATGGGCCAAGTTTGTTATCTAATTTAAGATAGTCTGAAACCTAAATAAAACACATAACATATGGGGCTGGAGTAATGGCTCGGTGGTTAAGAGCATTTGTTGCTCTTAAAAAGGGTACTGGTTTGGTTCCCAGCACACATATCTCACAATGGCCTCTAACTTAAGTTTCAGGATATCTAAAACTCTTTTCTGGCTTCCACAGCCACTGCGCACAGGTAGCATTGATAGACAAGCAGGCACAAAAAAATAAACATTAAATGAATAAATACATACATACATGAAAGAAGAGAAAAGAAAGAGAAGAAGGAAGAAAAGAGAGAACAGAAACCATTAATTCTGGAAGAAAAATTTCTAGATAGTAAAGAGTGTTGTCTAGCAATCAGAACAAAAATAAAAAATCTTTCATTTTGGCTTTGTTAAAAAATAGCTCATTGGCTATAGAAAAAAAAATCTACTGATTTCTATAGCTTTAACTTTTCTCTCACATAAGATATTCCTTTATTCTCTCCAGAATATGATAAATAACAATTTCAATTACATGAATTTTGATGCAAAAATATAAGAGCAATTTCAATTTTTTTTGCATATATTGAAAATGTTTGTATGATTGGACTTACTGTAGGTCATCTCTCTTTGTCTGTTAATTACAGGTATTCAACAAAACCTTAAAATACTAAACTATTTCTTTCAAAAGGGAAGTTAGAAATAGACTTCTCCCCACAGAAAAATTATTAACCATAAGTGCTCAATAAAATGTTTAAAACAATGAACAATATTTTTTCATATAAATATCCAGAGGAATGACAACTGTTAAGTCTGTTTTTCCATAGTCTTACTTACACAATTTATTTTGTTGTAAAGACACCACTTCTAGGAGGAGGTATTAATTGTAGAAATACATCAGTCAATGAAAACCTAAATTTATAAGAAAAATATCCCAGTTTATGATTGCAACCAAGTGCATATTCTCAGAGATTCTTAGTAAGAAGGTGTCTAATCATATAATAAATGCTCAATTCATTAATAAGTGGTAATTCATTAATAAGTGTACTGGTGGTAACTGTATTTTAATTAATTACTATATCACAAAGCATTTTACCTCATTTTAAGTCTTTTAAATCACTCTTTTGGCAATCGATTTAAATTTGGAGCTCTGAATTTTTAAATATATAAATGAAAGTGGCCTTTAACTACAGAATGGTGTTCAACAACAAAGGTAAAAAGTAAAAGATACAAAGGTGTGTTTAGTAAAACTACAGTCAGAACTGCTGAAATGATTCACTTTTCTTGTAACACATCACATCAATCCCTCCAAAAGACAAAAGTAGCAAAAGAGGAAGATTCCAAAACTTGAAGCAGGAAATCTGCTTCAGAAACTCATTATACTAATTTTCTCGGCTAGGAAGTCCAAATGCTGATACTCCTAATTATCAGCCATTCTTTTTGAGTTTTGGTGACACATATCCTCATGCAATGTATGTCAAATGGGATTTTCTGATTCACATTTGACATTTCAAAGTTTCCGTTTTTGAATTCCCCTAGTCTCAAGTAAGTATCACATTGTCTAATTTGTTTACTAAATATAAGTTTTTCCCCAACATCTAGAGCTCCATGATGCAAAATGTCATTCTGTCGATCTTCTGTTCCAGTATTCACTTTAATTTTTTTAATTGTAATTGGATTTTCAAATACAATAACAAATGTGTCTCCTATTGATGGCGGCTTTCCCCAAAAGTACTCATCAACACTACTGTAAGCTTTGCTCGCTTCATAGTTTTCAAAGACGTTCATGTTGGTGTAGAGACTTGCTGGAGGATTATCAGGGATGTCAAATGACTCCTCTTCAAAGTCATCATCCTTCAGTTTATTCTCTGTTCCTTTGTAGGATGAATAATAGCCCATGTGCTGAAAAAGAGAAGGTTTAAATCGGATCACATTTTTCTGAGCCAGTAGACCTCGGAAATGAGTTAATAGCCAATCACAAGGCATTTCTTGATAAAACATTAATAAAAAATGAGCCAGACGTGGGAGATCATGAGAATGATAGAGTTTACCAATGTAGCCAAGCTTAGAGAATTCAAGAGTCACCCAGTACGTTCCTTCTAAGGATGCAATGACTTTCTTGATGGCTGTTAAGAAATTTCTGGAACACCGAACGTCATCTTCAAGCATTACATAATAGTCTGAAGTATTGGCACAAAAATTCAGCAGAAAAGCATAATCTACATTTTGCTTGGAGCGAAATCTGACTCTATCCTCTGGGTCATTGTAATTTCTTTTAAGACCATCCAGAACTGGGTAATATTCTTCAGGAGCGTGAATAACCATTAATCTTCCTGCAATAATATGATGAGCAAATTTCTGTGTAATATCTTGGACCATGGCATCACGCCAGGATGAATTAAATTCTGCTAGATGCACCACTACTGAAATTTCCTTTAGTTCTTCATAGCTTGACTGTTCAAAAATTGACTTGATGGTCTCAAGTAAATAGTTTCCTTTTTTTCTTTTTACTGATGAAAGTCCAATTGTGAGATACCCTGAGCAAAAAGAACCAGGGGAAGACCAATTAAATGTTAATAGTTTTTTTTGGTTTTACAGGTGAAAGGAAATCATTTTATTTTACTATTTTATCATAAAAAGTAGGAATCACACATTTATGTGCTCTCTGCATCCTCTCTTTCCCAAATAATTCCAATTTCTACCACAATATGTACAAAAACTTCTATACCCAACATCAGTGCAAAATATGTATGCGCTATAATTCTTTTAGTCCAGCTTCCATGGAGGTGTTTGTAAATGGCTCTCTGTAACTTAGATGGAGAGAGATGAGGAAAGATAACAGGGAGTCAGGAGAATACTCTCTCATGTGAAAGCCATATAAGCAATAGCTCATAGACATTGAACACATGGATTTCTACAATCTTCTGTCTGAAGATATACAATCATCTTCTTTATCATTATTTATCTACATTTTTACAACTCATTTTTCTTTTTTTTAATTATTAGTGTTTATTCACTTTATATCCCAGCTGTAGCCCCCTTCCATGTCTCCTCCCAATCCCACCCTCCCTCCCTTTTCTTCTCCCATGCCCTTCTCCCAGTCCACTGTTATTAGGTTTTGAATAACACAAAAATAGACAAAGAAGAACCAATATTTACTTTTGTTAGGTCTGCAATAATATTAAATAAATCTAGTAAGTGATTATGTATCAAATATTTTAAGATTAGTCTTTTAAGCTCATTACACAAGGGCTACAGTGTTTTGTATAATTTGATGTTTAATATGGAAAACAACTTATATTTAATAAGCAGTCTCATAGAGATTCTATACTATAAATATTGTTTATTAATTATAAATTAAAAGTATTCTAAAATATTTTATAAACTAATATTCTTATATGTCACTATCATAAAAAGTAGACCAATGTTTTATTATATCTACAAACAAATGGAGCATGGAACTTTAAACCTGTAGTCTTAGCACTTGGAAGTTTGAGCCAGAAGGATTGCCATGACTCTGAGGATAGACTGGTAAACACTGTGACTCAAAAACAAAAAGGACATTTGCTCAACCATGTTTGTAGCAGCTTTATTTGTAATAGCTAGAAACTGGAAACAACCCAGATGCCCCTCAACTGAAGAATGGATGCAGAAACTGTGGTACATCTATACAATGGAGTATTACTCAGCAATGAAAAATAAGGAAATAATGAAATTTGCAGGTAAATGGTGGGACCTGGAAAGGATCATCCTGAGTGAGTTGTCCCAGAAGCAAAAAGACACACATGGTATATACTCACTCATATAAACATACAATATAGAATAAACCCACTAAAATCTGTACATCTAAACAAACTAAGCAAAAGAGAGGACCCTAACTAAAATGTTCAATCCCCATCCTGAAAGGCAAAGAGGATGGACATCAGAAGAAAAAGAAAATAGGAAACAACCTCAGAACCTGCTACAGAGGGCCTCTGAAAGCCAGAAGAAAACAGGAAACAACCTTGAAACCTGCCACAGAGGGCCTCTGAAAGCTTCTGCAGTATAGACTGTCAAAGCAGATGCTGAGCCTGATGGCCAACTGATAGGCAGAGTGAATGGAATTTTATGTAAGAAGTGGGAAATAGTAAGAGCTGGAGGGGATGGGAACTCCACAAGGAGAGCAACAGAACAAGATAATTTGAACACAGGGAACTTCCCAGAAAATCATACTCCAACCAAGGACTATTCGTGGAGATGACCTGGAACCCCTGCACAGGTGTAGCCCATGGCAGTTCAGTGTCCAAGTGGTTTACATAGTAATGGGAAGAGGGACTGCCTCTGACATAATCTGATTGGCCTGCTCATTGATCACTTCCCCCTGAGGGGGAAGCAGCCTTACCAGGCCACAGTAGAAGACAATGAAGCCACTTTTGATGAGAACTGATAGACTAAGATCAGAAAGAAAAGGAGAACCTCCCCTATCAGTGGACTCGGGGAGGGGCATGCATGCAGAAAGGGGAGGGAGGGTGGAATCGGGAGGGGAGGAGGGAGGGGCTTATGGGGGGATACAAAATGAATAAAGTGTAATTAATAAAAAATTAAAAAAAAACAAAAAACAAAATGAGACAAAAAAACAAAAATAAATAAAAAGTGTAAAAATGACTAAAAGCATACACAAAAGCAAAGGGAATTTATAATTAAGGCTGACAACTCAAATCATGAAGAAAAAAAAAGGCTTAAAATTTAAAGCATCAATAAAATTTCCAGTGAATGCCTTGTGGTTTTCAGTTTTCATTATCACATCATCATAATTGCTAAAATAATCAAGAGGTAGACTTCACAGCCTTGTTTTGAATTTTGCCTGATACATTTCATAGAAAATAAAGTTTCACAGAATGTATGAAAAAAAAAACAATCTTATCGTTGCTCAAATATGTGGTTCTAGCTATGAATTTACTGATTCATTAGTTTTGAAAGACGTTTTATTGCAATATCCTCTAGAGAATTTTATTCTTAGAGTTAAGTAAAAAACTAAGAACTGGATATTTTTAGGAAAAAATTAACCTGAGTACAGACTATTAACCTTTGACAGGTATTACATGTGTTTCTAAGGTCCAATTTCATATCACTAAGATAAATATAATTTTGGAGTAACCACTGCATAAAAACACATTGATTTAATATGGGCTTTTTCCTTATGCCGTATATACTTTTAGCAAGGCCAGTTTAAATCATTCTGGTCTTCTACCATTCTTATCTGAAATGTACAAAATATTCACTGCCATTCAGCATCCTGATGTGTTTTTGTCAGTCAATGCAGTTGTAACGACAGGTTTGATGGAAGTTCATTCTTTGTTCTTTTATTTTTACTCTTTAAAAACCTAGACCCTCAAAGGCCATTTAAGGAGCTCTAAATTTTGAGTGGTTGCAATTGTTTCATAACCATGACATCTTCTTCACCTTAATAAGTGTACCCCAACTTAATTTTTTAGGTTGGCAAATAGTCTTTGGAACAATCAAAATGAGTATGTGACCACCACTACTTACAGGTCAGCTTCAGCCTACCAGAACCATGAGACAGCACATTCTTATTTAAAAAAGAAGATTCTATAGTCACGATAACCTACGATAGCCACTTATAAAACACTGCACTGCCAAGACCACACTAAAATCTTGTCAGAAATTACAATATTAAAGTATCAAAGATTTTAAATATTCCCATGTAGGAATATTTTAAAATTATTTTTTTTACATTTTAAAACCAATTTATAATGATCTCATATGTAGCCCTATAACACATTTCTAAATGATTCTTTTTAAATTCTGGTATTTTAATAGTTACCGGGTCCAAAAGTATTGACAAAGTTTGAAGAAATAAATCTTTGTTAAACCATAGATCAAAATATTCTTTTAATCTTTTACTGCTACATAAATGTAACAAATTATCACTTTTTTATCCACATTTCATTAAATTTGTTTATTCATGCAGTTTTTATTAAAGAGCTTAAGAATACTTACGCTTTCTCTGTAAAGGTGTGGTAGCTAGGTAGCGATAGGTCACATTTATGGTTCCTGAGAAGTTTGATAAATCCTTGAAAGTGTGAACGTAGCGTTCAGAATTAAGTTGATGAGTGGATGTTTCCCGTATGAGTTGCTTATCACCCTCCTATATGCAAAATAAAAAGAAAAAAGAAAAAAAAAAGGAAAAAGAAAAGAAAACAACAAAATACAGAAAGTTAATAAGTAATAGTTAGTCATTAGGTGAATATCTCTTTACACATATTGATGTGGACAGTAGTACATGTATTTAGAAAGTTATACAAATTTCAGTTATTCACCTCTACCCACAATGTAGATTTCTTTTTTTTTTTTTTTATGGCTGAATAGTATTTTATTGTGTACGTATACCACAATTTCTTTTTCTATTAATTGCAGTTTATTTGTGTCCCAGCTGTAGCCTCCTCCCTCATTCTCTCCCAATCCCACCTTCTCTCTCTCATCTCCTTGTATGCCCCTCTCTAAGTCCACTGATAGGGGAGGTTGTCCTCCACTTCTCTCTGACCCTAGCTTATCAGGTCTCACCAGGACTGGCTACAATGTCCTTCTCTGTGGCTTAGGTAGATGGCTCCTTCCACGGTGGTGGTGGTGGTGGGGGGTTGTCAAAGAGCCAGCCAGCCATTGAGTTCATGTCAGAGACTGTCCTTTGAACCCGATTTCTTATCTTCTACTTTTTTAAGCTTTTTTACTTCTGATCTTTGCTCTGTAACATACTTTTTTTGTGTAGCATGCATTTTAGTGGCATTTTTCAGAAAAATCATCTTTACTTGAAAATTTTCTCTGCCAACAGGTTAAAATTCTCAACTTTTAAATACATAAGAACTTTACCCAAGCCAAGGAGGAAGCGATGCAGTCAGTCCTGATGAGAACTGATAGGCTAGGATCAGAGAGATAGGGAGGAGGACCTCCCCTATCAGTGGACTTGGGAGGGGTATGGGAGTTGATGAGAGAGGTAGGGTGGATTTGGGGGAGGACCAGGGCAGGGGCTACAGCTGGGATGAAAAGTGAATAAAATGTAATTCATAAAAAAATTAATTAATTTCAAAAAAGAACTTTACAGTTTGATAATGATCAAATGGGAGCTTTCTACTGAGGCTATTTTTTTCCAGATTGCTCAAATTTTGAGCCATACTAATCTACTCACTCTTCTGCAAATACTTTCAAATGAAAGAAAAAAATAAGTACTGATAATAACATTTAAAGAATGGCTCTGAAGATTTAACTATAAACAAACTATTTCTATTTGGAAAAATCTATTAGAAAGTTGTATTGGTTCATTCGTAGATGACCTTATGATTCCATTGTGATGGATTGAATGAAAATGGGCCCCTAGGCTCATAGGAAGTGGTGCTATTAGTAGTTGGAGTTTATATGGACTTGCTGGAGCAAATGTGTTACTGTGGGTGGGCTTTGAGGTATCAAATGCTCAATCCAGTGTCGCCCTTTCTGCCTGCTACCTACAAATCTCAATGGAGAACTCTCAGCTGCCTCTTCGGTACCATGCCAACCTGTGTGCATACACAACATGATGAAAAGGAGTAAACCTCTAAACCTGTAAGTCAGCCCCAATTAAATGCTTTTCTTTTTTTAACTTTAAAAAGTTATTTATATTTTTATAAATTACAGTTTACTCACTTTGGATCCCTACTGTAGCCCCTTCCCTTCTCCTTTCCCAATCCCACCATCTCTCCCTCATCTCCTCCCACACCCTTCCCCAAGTCCACTGATAGGGGAGGTCCTCCTCTCCTTCCATCTGACCCTATCCAATCAGGTCTCATCAGGACTGGCTGCATTGTCTTTCTCTCTGGCCTAGAAAGGCTGCTCCCCCCTCAGGGGGAGTGATCAAAGAGCCAGCCACTGAGTTCATGTAAGAGATAGTTACTGTTCCCATTACTAGTGCACCCACTTGGACACTAAGTTGCCATGGGCCACATCTGTGCAGGAGTTCTAGGGGTTCTAGGTTATCTCCATGCATGGTCCTTGGTTGGAGTATCAGTCTCAGAAAAGACCCCCGTGCCTCAAGTTTTTTGATCTGTTGCTCTTCTTGTGAGCTCCTGTCCCCTCTAGGTATTTCTATCTCCCCTTCTTTCATACAATGCCCTGCACTGTGACCAAAGTTTGGCTATGAGCCTCTGCATCTCCATCGATATCCTGCTGGGTAAAGTTTTTCAGAGGCCCTCTATGGTTGGCTCCTGTCCTGTTCCGTGTTTTCTCCCTCTACCAATGTCCATCCCCTTAGCCTGTCTGAATGAGGATTCATCATCTTGCACAGGGTCCCCTTGCTTGCTTAACTTCTTTTGAATTGCTGTGGTAATAATGTTTTTTCACAGTACTAGAACAATGACTATGACAGCCACAGAATTGGAAATTGTTGCGAATCGTTAGCCATCTTGTTTTGGATGGAATTGCTAATCTAAAATGTCCTCCAATAGCATCAATTATAATACATTTGTACCTGATCAGTAGAATATGATGAGAGCTTCTTGGCACCTCATTTTTTTATTGTGCTCTTTCTCTCTGTGTGTATAGTTGCATACATATGTGAACATTTGATTTTGTTTGGTGTTCTTGTAAAGATGGTTTAGATCACTTATAATCATTCTATTTAATGTTTTGGTGGTGAAATTTTGTGTCAACGTGTCAACAGAAGCACTTACAATGCTAAAATTCAGACTACATCCCATCAGCCATTATTTGCTTTCATTGTTTGTACACTTTGATCCAAGTTCCATGGTAGATTTCAATAATCCGATCAAGTGGTTTTTGGTAATTCTTAACAATTGTAATTTGTTTGGTAATATGTACTAAGATGTACTACTATATGTTTTGGGGCAATCTGATTGCGAGGCCAATGGTTCTTTTGGTAAATTTTGTACTTCATTGTGTGTTGTTATGTAGATATGTTTCTTCTATATTTGTTAGATACTTAAATTAGTAGAGAGCATGGCACTAAAACTATATATAAAGTAAATTCTTTAAATGTTGCCTTGAGTACTAATCTGTGGTCAATAAGTATCTGTTATAAAAAATTGGATAAAATTCAGACACAAGTTTTACTGTTACCGAAAGATTAAATGCTTAGTTGCTGACTTACAGGAGAAAGACATAATTAAGCTTCAAAAATCTATGAACAGAGGAGAGGTCTTGGAACCATGTGAAGAGGAGAACCAGACCTAAAATATGACTAAAGAGCTGGCATGTCACTGGCATGGGCTGTCACCTTCTGTGAAAAGCATTAATCATCATATCCACTCTGAAGCTGTGGATTTCCTTCATCTTCCCACAGTAGTAAGATAATTAAAAATAAGAGGTCTTAAGAGGAAGAGCACAGGTGGCCACCACCAGTATGAGGAGCCCAGTATTAACTAAAATGAGGTTCCAAGTTTCTTATTCATGATCCAAGATGGCAGTGGCAAGAGGACACAGTATCTGAGGAGTAGGACAGCAGTGACTGCACAGCGACCAACAGACTGAATTCTGGGCCCTAAAACACCAGGGATTTTGTTTCCCAGGTGAGAGGAAATCCCATGATGTGGGAATCAGTTGGGTCCATTCTAAGGTCACCCAGCTAAACCCTAGAAAAATTTCTTTTTCCCAACAGTTGCTTGTTTGCCAGCCCAGAGCCACATGTTGGTGTGCTCTGATTACTGTCACAGATTGAACTGTGGGCACCACAACACCAGAGACTGTGATTTCCAGTCGAGAGAAAACCCCACAGTGAAAGAAGCAATCTGGACTGACGTCAGGTCACCCAGACAATCCTTGGAAAAGGACTTAAGGTCCAGCAGGCGCTCAGTCACCAGCCCAGAGAGCTGCATGCATGCCCAACTCACCATCCCAGACAAAACTGTGGGCCCCAGGGCACCAGAGACTGACTGGTTTCGCTGTAGGGAAGAAATCCAATGGTGAGGAAAACAGCAAGTTTGACCTCAGGGCACTCAGCCAAATCTCTCCTCTCACCCCCAAAACGTTCTTAGGAAAAGTTCCTGGGTTCCTGCCGGCACCCAGCCACCAGCGCTGAGTGAACCGCCTGTGCCTGCATGCTCTACTCATCACCCCAGACTGAATTTTGGATCCCCAAACACCACAGACTGGGACTCCCTGTCAGGAGAGAACCGCATGGTGGGGGAAACTCAGGTCTGACCCAGCTACAGAAAGTTTCTGGGCTACCGCAGGCTCCAGACTCTAGCTACCTGCTGCAGGCAGGCTGTGCTCACCTCCCACTGATTACCACTTGGGTACTGGGGCACAGAACTCCAACCTCAGACCAACAGAAATGGGGGATATATGGTTCAGCCCAGACACTGCACCAAGGTGCAACCTATCTCCCTACCTAAACTGACCAAACCATGGGACTCCCTGCCTATTCAAGAGGGCTACACCCAGCAAACACAGTGAAGAGCAGTAGCAGCCCACTAAATTCAGAGCAAGTAACCCAACAGCAGGGCAGCTGTCTCCAGGACTTTTCCTGGTGAGAGGACAGCCCCCCTGACTACCAACGACCACATTTACCACACAGTTACATATGCCTGAGGTGAGCTGTGGCAATTCCTGAGAAGTACTGGTCATTCGTGACCGTACCCAAAAAGCTGAGGAGGCCATTCCTCAGGAACAACTATCTTCCTACCAAGGGGATTCTCCCCAACCCAGGATTGAAGGAAGTACCAGAAACTAACAGCATACACCTGAGATAGCCAGATGGGTAGAAGCCAGCATAAACCAACAAAAGCCAAAGAAATATGGCTTCTCCAGAACCCAGTTATTCAGGGACAAGCAGCCATGGGGACCCAATCATAAGTGAAATTCAGGAATAGGAGCTTATGTCTATGCTTATAAAGAGGTTAATGGAGGAAGCAAATAAAATGCGTAAAGAATTAGAGGAAGATAAAGTCAAACATTATGGCCATCCATAAAAAAATACAGGAAGATACAGCCAAACAGTTTGTGGCCTTAAAGAGGAATTAATTAAGTCACTGAAAAAAAATAAAAGAAACAGAGAAATGTTCAAACAACCAGGTGAAGAAATTGAAAGAAAATACAGTCAGACAGAGGAGGGAAATCAACAAAACGGTGCAAGATCTAAAGATAGAATTGGAAAAATTAAAGGAA